AGACTGCCCAGCCTACCCGTCGTAGATAGTTACCCAATCACCTGATTGCCTTTGTAGGTGTCTGACTTCTCCTGGCTGCTGTTTCTCTACTGCTGTTTCCCTGATCGCCAAGAGGCAGCCCAGTGATCTGTTTGCTGGCAAATAAACTGCTGCCCACTCCCCCGATGGAGTTGCCTGGTCGGCGGTCTTTGCCATGTCCTCTTCCATCCACCATGCTGTTGCCTATCTGTCTGTTTACCCATGACACTAATAATTCTAATAAACTTCTTATCCCCAACAATCTCAGTGTCCTTCTTAAGCTCCACACCCAAGACCTTTCATCCACCCAGCCAGCCTGTAGCCCACTGTTCCTCTCTCATAGATGCCCTTACACGCCCATGTTTTCCCCGACAGAGATCTGAGGAGCTAGCCCCTCTATTTTTCCCTAGGGCTGCCTTTGGATCAACCTCATTCCTTCCCATCCACGCTTATCTCCTGAATCTTTTGAAGCGGGTAGACGTCCATACTTTTCATTCTGGTAATACAGTGTTGTCTTATTTGTTTGTTGTACCAGGAAAAATAAGCTGAAGGGTCAGGGGTAAAAGTTTTTGCCAGGTCAGAATCGAGACAAAAATTCTAATAAAGAATATATGCGGTAGGGGAAACAGAAACATGGAGACAAAGTATTAGAGAGAACTGCGCCCCTGAGAGTGAATGGGTGTCTTTTCACAAGTTACTGAGACTTATCTCATGGGTCGTTTGTGGGTTCTCATGAGGATAGGGAAGACGTGGGCATCTCACTAGCCTGTTAAATAGTAAAATTATAGCATCATTTGTCCTTCCTGAGACTGATCATTTGGGGTGAGGAGTTAGGCTTTAATTATTTATATTGTACCAGTCACTGTCCAAGTCTGATTGTTAAAGCATGGGGAATTTTGCCTTTGTTTTTGGTCTTTTGGTCTCTATACTGTTATTTTAATATTTGAAGTTTTTTAAAATCTCTTTACTGTCTTCATTATCCATTCTTGATTTTTTTTCACCAGATAAAAGCATATTAATCATAGTTTTTTATATTCCTTTTCTGATAATTCAAAAATCTGTATCCTAACTATTAACTGAGTCTGCTGGGCACATTCGTGTTTTTCTACAGTGTCAGAATTTATTGACTATCAATAAATGCACAAGCTACATTGATTTCATTGGTTGCAATTTACCAGCTAATCACTCTTTGTCTTTATAGTGTGGCTGTTGGTATTCACAAGTTCTTTTAGTCCAACATTAATTACTGATATTAGCTCTCAGATCACACATTACATTTCACACAGTGATTCATGGGTATGTGTGGTACAGAATTGCTACAAAATGGTTGAAGAGCTCTTACAGTGTTAGAGAGGGCTTATTGAAGGCAGAGGCAGAGAGTGGATACAATCGGAGAAAGTCACTGCAGGTGATTAACAAACAGGTGGTATTAACAAAGGCAGTTGGAAAACTGTGGATGCATGGAGAACCAGGCTTAGTCAAGTCTGACAGGTCAGGTGCAGGGCCAGATCCCAAATAATGGCAATTCAAATGCACCACGTGTCACTTAAGCAGTGGGGACCATGCTGAACTGAAGCTTGTCACCCTATGACACATGGCACTGGATGATCAGGTGACAGGCTGGTGAGTGCTGCCGCTCCGCATTGTCACATATTCCTCCTTTTATGTGACCCAGGTGAGAGGGTTGCATCTTCCTTGGTTTGGTGTGTGCAAAGAATTCACTGGCTTTTTTTTTTTCTCATATGATTTGATATACCCATGGTCTTGTTTATTTCAGTAAGTTCATAGGAGGTACCTTTAGATTTATATGAATATTTTTTATCAGTCTGTGATGATTTGTGTGAACAGGTGGTGGTGTTGACATGTACAGATAAGATACAGAGTCATTCTGCCTCGTTATTTGTATTCAAAATGGATCCAACTGCTGTGTTGTAAAACGAAGTCAGTCAGGGCAAGGCACCATGTACAAGACACCATTCTCTACAATACGAAGAAGTAACAGAGTAGGGCACAGACTTATCTCCTTTCTGACCAGGGATCTGGTTACTGTTTCATTTCTTTTTTCTATATGTGTGCATATATGCATATATATGTATGCACATGCATATGGAGACCAAAGATTGGGCTAGGTGTTTTCTCCATCTGTTTTCCACCTTACTTTTGGAGACAGGGTCTCTTATTGAACCTGGAGCTTGCAAACTTGGCTAGACTGGCTGGCCAGTAAGGCCCAGGGTACCTCCTGTCACCATCTTCCCAGTGCTGCCCCACTTGGCTATTTACCTGGGTGCAGAAGATCTGAACTCAGGTCCTCATGCTTGTGCAGCAAGCACTTTACCGACTGAGCCATTTCCTCAGCCCTTGATTGATCTTTTCAGACATTTCTTTTCCCCGATGGCTTTTTAGGGTATCTTTTCTTTCTTGAAATCCAGACAGGCCTTTCCTCTGAGGTTTGATGTTAATGTGGTGGAAAGATGGGCTGTGTTTATTTACTGTTATTCTTAAGTATCAGAAACTTCCGTTTTCTCTAGTGTCCTTTTTTGTTATGTCCTCTGCTTTCTTTGATTTTCTGAAACACCTCTAATACAGTATGCATCAGGCAGCTTTGTAGTTGAGATTCACTGATGTTACTGAGGGATGTGGTAAGGAATGAAGGGAGGTGATGTGTTCTAAATTTTGTAAGTTCTGTGTTGTAGTGAGCCTGTGACCTGCTCTGTGAACTTCACAAGGGTTGGTCAATTTTTTTTCTCCTGACACAAGACAGGAACACTAGAAAATGCTAGAATTGGGCCATTTCCCTTCCTACTTGTCAGATAAAGCTTTGATACTTTTTCTTCTCCCACAAGGGCTTATTTTTGTGATGGAGAATGCTCCAGGAGTTTTAAAAGGTTGTCTGCCATTGAATTCTTCTTGACTCTTTAGCATGGTAACTTTCAGCATGCTAATGTTTCTAGAGAAGAAACCCATTGAAAACTGAGGTCCTGTGAGACTAGAGCCACACAGAGAGCAGCCCACTCTCACACTGGTCTCCATTCTGCTTCTGGAAACTCACCAGTCACTGAAGATACGATACTCAGGGTTCCGTAGGCTTTTATACCTGGCAGGCGGATGGGACAGTATTCAGATTTGGGGGTGACAGTAGTCCTACAATCTCAGTTCCTTGAAGATCTAAGAGTGATGACTTCTGTGCTCTTTACATGTTGGAACTGAAACCAGGACTCGAATGTTTTATATGCCTGCAGCATTTTCATTTTGCTGATATTTATTTTGTACACCTGGATGCTGCAACAAACCCAAACTGGAACAGGGACTGTCACCTTTTCTGTTAAGTATTTTTTTTTTTAATTTACTGCTAATGAAATAAAACTAAGAAGCAAACTGAACACTCTTTCCATGTGAACTAACCATCACTGCTCAGATGAGAGTGTGCCACAATGAGCAGTTATTATAACTCCAAAGTGCTACCGTGAAAGGATTCATGACCTACCGGCATACTCTTTTTATTTGGGGAAGTTTTTCCCTACCCACTCTTCATCACTGCTCCCAAGTTTGGCACTATCACATTGTTTTGTTTAGACTTCCTCAATGCCATGGGTATCTTTTCTATCTGAGTGAAAGTGGAGAAATTCAGGAGTTATATCTCTGCTCCTTTTCTTTATGTACATACTTTTCATTTATGATATATGGATTACCTTCACTGATTTCCTTTTGATACAATTATTTTAAAGATTATGGACTAAGTATGGCTATCGTCACGAAAATATATTTAAAGAAAGAGAAATGATAAAAGGAGATTATAAGTATCACGAGAAGAACTTAGGTATTATATATTTGATTTGAAAATTATTTTGAGAATCATGATTAAATTATCATGGTACCACAGTGTTAATCATTCTGATTCACTTAACTACTCATGTGTGCAAGTTTTCAGACTTAAAAAATTCTATTATCATCCCTGCTAAGCCTCCTGAGTATAGTGTGTGAATGCTCTGTGATCATAAACTCCATTGTAACTGTGAGGAAACAAAACTCTTCCATTAGCTGAAAGGAGAAGCAGGAGGAATAATAATGTTTCCCAACTTCCCTGCATAAGGAAAGTCTTGGTGATGACTGGTATCTATTAAGGGAGAAAGGGACAAGCTAGTGGCGGAGGGAAAGAATGATGACTTATTCAGTTCATTACCTCCATTGTGGGAATAGAAAGCTAATGAAACTGAATGAATGGGGGCACTGTTCAAGCCAGTGTCGGGACTGAATATTAACGTCTTTTATATGACTTGTGAAAACCAAATAGCATAAAAATTGAAGCTTTCAAGCTTTTACATGCATGCCTCCGCTAATGAGTCCAATTTGTTCCTTTGGGCCTTAGCAAGTTCCAGATTTACATTCTTAAACAGAAGGTATTAAAACTCTTTCCTTCCTTTTTAATTGCCATAAATCTCTCTAATGGCAGCCTAGGCTTCCTTTGAGAAGAAAACCATTTTTTGAGGAGAAATATCTTCTCAACTGGGCAATTCAGCCTTTAAGTTGCATTTTAGCTTGATGGTGTCAAGTACCCAAGGTCATCTTGCCTTTCTGTTTTGCCCTGATAACAAAGACAGTCAGGGGCCCCACAAGGTATAGTGACCGCTAGCTTTGAGGCGATTATTTCCATTGCTGTGAACCCATGTTACCAGCTGAATCCAGTTTCACACCCTACCACTTTTCCAAAGAAAACTGGGAGATGAAAATTGGTAAAGGCAAGGGAGTTCATCACAGTTTGGCCAAAGTGAAGAGATCTCTAAATTTTATTTTTCCTTTTTCCGTAGCAATGTTACAATATACAGACAAAATGAAATACAAGCCAAGAAAGTAGATCTTGATGAAAGAATTTATTGGGCCTTTTTGGGGAGCACGGGGCTCTCTCAACCGTCCAGCGTTATATGTTTCCAGCATGGAATTCCTGACACACTATTACAATTTCCCCTCTTTCTTGTCCAATCCAGAATCCTGAAGAATTTGGGGTATTATGCTATTGCTGAACTGGTATGAAAATTTCTAAGCTATGCCTGTGTTGGAGAGAAATATCACAAGAATGCTATCAGGAGCCACAGGAGCCAAAGCTAGTGTCAGGTAACCTTAGAGAACTTTTTCTTTATAAGCACTCAGCTTTAGCTGCTTCTGGAAGGCTGGCACAATTTTTGTTGGTCTCTCTGCAGTCCAGGGTGGCCTTAACTCAAGCTCCTCCAGCCTCATGTGCCGACATGCCTGCCATGACTGCATCTTAGTTCTGACAGTTTTTTCCTTTGTCTCTGTGCAGGTTTTGAAGACATCATTGTTCAGTTATCCCATGGTTTGGTCTTAAATGTTGCCATTGCTGGGATGAGACATTTTCCTGATATTGGCCCATGTTCAGAAGGAAGTGGCAGGCAGAGTCAGTGCCAACAGATTTAAACTATTGGGAAGTTTATTTGAAGTTATTGGGAAGGCTTCTTAGCTGATTTACCTAGAGCAAATTTACAATTTGTAGAATATTGAGTCTTAGAAATGGAAAATTCTCATTATTTCCATGACTGACAGAGCTCTGAGTCCACATCCATTCATGGCTTTCCTTTGCTATGTCACAGGGAGGAAGAATCATCCATCAGCTTATAATTACATATTATAACAATGAACACATAGATATTTAAATTAAATGTAGATTTCATTCCCAATGGGACAAACATAAAATAAGTTAAATTTAACAGTTTATTTTGAACTTTTATGGTGTACAAAACACTTAGTAAAGAAATCGAAGATATAAGTAAACATGTTCAGTGATTGAAAAATTCAACTCAGTAAAAATATTAGTTCTCTTTAATTAATGGGCAGAATTTGCAAGTCCTATAGAAATCCCAGCAAAATTATTTTAGTTACATATAAGATTATGCTAAAACACACGTGGAAAACTATGGATACTAAGCTTAAACAATTTGACAAAAGAAATACAGTAGGAAGAGTCAATCTATATGACTTCAAGAGTTATTGTATTGCTATGTGCTCAATAAAATGTGTACAAGACATTTTATGCAGTAATAACTATGAGCATGTGGTGTTGGCAGAGGAATAGACACATGTACCAGGGAACTGACGAAGGAACCTAGAGTAGACACAAATACATCCAACTGATTCTTGTCAAAGGTGGCAGAGCAATTGCATGGAGTGAGGGCAGCCTTTCAACAAATGGTCCTGGAGCAAGGGGACAGCCAGAGGCAGAAACAGACAACCTGGAATGTTTTTTGCATTATATAGAAGAATTAACCTAAAGTATTTAATTATATAAATCTACATTTTAAAACAGTAAAACTAAGAAGATAAAAAAACCTTGGAAAATCTTTTTACCAAGAGAATTTTTCAAAAAATTAAATTTAATACATTATAATTGACCAAAATTAAAGATTTATGCTCTCCCAAAGACCCTTTACAAGATGAATGGACAGGTGGAAGATGAGAAAACCTTTGCAAACCACATCAAAGGACCAATATCCACAATGTAAAACAAAATGAAACAAGTCAATTAGAAAATGGGAAAAACACTGAAGAGATGGTTTATGAAAAAAGGATATATCTATGAAGATACACAATGGAAAGGTGCCCAGTGTTGTCACCGGTGATGGAAAAGTAACCAAGAATAGTGCCCACATAGGCACCAAAATAATTAAAATCAAAGAGTGACTGCACTGAATGCTGATGAGGGCACAGAGAGAACTCTTCATGGTGTTCATGTGCAGTAACAGCTGTTCTGGATCTGACATTAGGTTCTTAAAAAAGTAACATCAAACCCCCATATGACCCAACAATTACATACCTGAGCATCTATTCCCAGATAAGTGAAAATTTAACATCACAGAAAAATAAGGTCTAATTGGAGCTCATTTGTACTGGTCCATGATGATCCAGATGTCCTTTAGCTGACAAATATCTAATAAGTCATGGTTCACATGGAATGCTACTTAGCAATAAACATGAACAAGCTACTGATTCATACAAAGCCCAGATGAATCTCTATGGTATTGGGATGAGTAAAAAATTCACCCCTGACTATTCACATATAAATTATTTCATTAGTGTGGCATTCTTTTATAATACCATCTCTATTGAAATGTGATTCATAAGTCATGCCATTCATCCATTTAAAGTATACAATTCAATGGTTTTAGTATATTTACAGAGTTGTGTAAACATCACCAAAATTTAGGTTGAAAATAACCTTTTAAAATAAACTTCAGGTTTAAAAAACTTTCACCTACTGGCATTCAGTTCCATTTCCATTTGTCCTTTCTCCTATACTCAGGAGAAAGAGAATCTATTTTCTGTCCCAGTAGATTTAATTATCTCATACACATCACACAAATTAAATCATATTATGTTTTTTTCCAAGGGGGTGGCTGGCTCTTTTTTACTCTGTGTAGTATTTTCAAGTTTTATTAATATTGTACCATTAATTTTTATCATTGAATATCATTTCACGATATGAATATACCATATACTGTTCATCCAATCATCAGTTGATAGACACTTAGATTGTGTCTATGTATTTGAATATTAGGAGGAGGTACCATAAACATTTGGGTGCAGGTTTTTGTGTGGACATGTTTTTATTCCCCTTGATTATATACCCCAAGAAGTGGAATTACTTGGTCACATGTTAATTCTGTTTTGCTCTTTGATAAACTGCCGTGCTGTTTTCCAAAGTAGCCATACTGAAATTGGAAAACTGCAGATCTTTGAAAATAATGGAGACTTTCTGATCCCACGTGGGCTTAACTTGGGGGCTAGGATACAAGACTTTTATACTCACCAAGCCCCACCCTCAAGTCAGTGACTCTGGGTCTCTTGTCTCATGAATTTGAAGAATGAATTTCACAGACAGTAAAGAGTGAATTTAACAAGGAGTTTGATTAAATAGAGAAAGACTAATGCAGGAGGATTCATTGTAGAAAGAAAGCAAATAGAGCTCCATTATGGAAAGGGTCCCAGAGGGTTGCCATTGAGCTATTTGTCTAGAGGATTTTTTTTTTTCCACAGGCTTCAAGGCAGAAATTGAACAATGATTGATGTAACTTCTACTGAGATTGGCTCATCCTCTGGACACATCATGGGCTCAGCCATGTTTGTTCTCGATATGTCCTGTTGGCTCAAGCAGGGAGATGATCACGTCTGTTCATGTATTGTTCATCCAGGTAAGCGAGTGTTCATGCACTGAAGCCCCCATCTTTTATTTGAATTGTTGACCTTGGCTGGTTCAACAATTCAAGTAAACAGCCCAACTATAGCAGTTTTTAAAAAAATATTTTAAACTATGTGTATGTATATGGACTTATGCAGGTGTCTGTGGAAGCTTGAGGGGTCTGATGCTCCTTGGAGCTGGAGTTATAGGTGGTTGTGAGCCACCCAACATGGGTGCTGGGAACTGAACCCCAGTCCTCTGTGGTCATGCTCCTAACCTCTTAGCTATCTTTCCAACCTGCAAATCATCTACCTTGCGGGAGCTGTTGGTCTCTGACTTTAGTGGGGTCTTCTTGCCATTAATTAAATTAGCTCTAGGTTTTTAAGAAGCCATTCTCACCCACGGTTAAGAACCCATGAAAGGGCAACAATGTCTTGTATGTGTTTCTCAGCAGGGTCTTTGTGACAGCCTGCAGAGACTGGCTTTCTGGGAATCAGCTTGGCTATCACATAAGCCCTCTTATTTAACTTCCTCAGTGTTCAGAACTTTCCATTTTAACCTTAACATTCTGTTTAACCCTAACAACTATTTTTACTATAACAACAATATTTTGTAATCATACAAACAATGTGATATGGGCTTGATTTCTTCTTTTTCTTACCTATATTTTTTATAATTATTATTTTTATTTTATGTGTATGAGTGTTTTTTCCTGCATGTATGTAAACATGTCTGCAATGCCCACAGAAGCCAGAACAAGGTGTCAAATCCCCTGGAGCTGAAGTAACTGACTGTTGTTAGCCACTATATGGGTGCTGGGAATTAAAGCCAGGTCCTCTGGAAGGACAACGAACGTTCTTAACCGCTGAGCCACCTCTCCAGCCCCTACCTACACATTTTATTATTTTATTTTTCTTTAAAAAATTTTAAAAACTTCTTTATTTTTATTTTATGTGTATGAGTGTAATGCCTATATGTATATAAATGCACACCACATGTGTGCAATGACCTTGGAGGCCAGAACAGAGTGTCGGATTCCCTGGAGCTGCCATGTGGGTGCTCAGACTCAAACCTGGGTCTTCTACAAGAACAGCCAGCGTCCTTAACCACTGAGCCATCTCTCCAGTCTCATTTTATTTTTCTTATTGTAAACCTAGTGTACATGAAGAGGATCTCACTGTGATTTCAATGCAGATTTAACTGGTGGTTCATAACAGCAAGCAAATAATTGTTTTCTGTTCTTGTTTTTTTTTTTTTTATTTTTTTGAGACAGGGTCTCCCTGGAGCTCCTAGTTTGGAGCTCACTTTGTAGACCAGGCTGGACTTGAACTCACAGAGCTCTGCCTGCCTCTGCCAACCTCCCAAGTTCTAGGACTAAAGGCGTGCACCACCATGCCTGGAGTGACAATTGATCATTTGTAAACTTGGAGAAATGTTTATTAAATGTTTTTGTTCAGTTTATTGGATCATTTATCTCTTTATTACTGGGTTTGTATTTCCTAAATACCAGAATCAAATTAGCAACTACCTGATTTGCATATGATTTCTTCTATTTGTGGGATTCTACTTTTGCTTTCTTTATGTTATGATTTGAGGCATACAAATAATTAATTTTATGAAGTCCCCCTCACATGTGTTAACTTTGATGAAGTCTATCTTATCTGTGTTATCCTTTGTTTCTTTTTGGCTCATAGCTAATCAAGCAAGGTCAATGTGGTGTTAGGAAGGGATCAAAATTTATCATTTTGCACATGCACATCTTGTTATTCTGTTTTCTTTTGCTGAAAAGACTATTCTTCCTCCACTGAATTACTTAGGCATCCTTGTCAAAAAATGATACAGCATTTGGGAAATGACATCATGACTGACATGGAAACATTAGTGGTTGTCAGGGTTTACAGTGGGGTTAGAGACAGGCAGTTGATATTGTTCTTGAGTGGCAACAACATGAATGGTGTGTTGATGGTGATGGAACTGTTCCGTGTCTTGACTTTATCGATGTTGTATTTCCTGGTTGTGATATTATACTTTAGTTTTGCAAGTTGCTATCCTTGGAGCTATAAGCCAATGAGTAAGAGGACATAGGGTCTCTCTGTATTGAATGTAAAATTATCTTAAAGTAAAAGAGATTAGTTAGAAGACATGGACAAATCTCAAAAGTGGCCACCAGGAGTAGTTCAGAGTGAGTTAGTCATGGACAGACTGATAGAGCTACTAGCTTTCCTTCAGAACCTCATGTAGCCACTCAAGGGAGGGACTGTCACCTCCAGATGTGATCCTCCTGGTCTTCTGCTTCCTATCTCTCTTTGATGTAATTGAAGAGCTGTGCTTGGAAGAGGTAGAAGCAGTTCAAAATCAAAACACAACTTCCTACTACTTAATGAACAAAGGCAGATGGACAGGCTCTTTAAAATATTTATGGGATTTTAAATTTTAAATAAAAGGAATGGGTTTTAAGCACACAAACTGGACAATTTAAATAATACAACTAAACATTATGAATTGTATGGCTATGATCATATTATGGATGTCTGCTAACCAGGTAAGTAATGACATACTAATAAACTGCCCCTTATTTTCTTATCTTCATGCACACAGAATAAAGCATCTTTCAACTCTCATCAGAGAAGCTTCTTTTTGCAGAAGATGGAGACTAATAGAGGAACTCACAACCAGTCAACATGCAGAGATCAAGAGATTGTAGTGTGCTAAGCTCTGAATGGGACACCTGTATCACAATTCCTTTCCTCCAAGACTCAGGGATCATAATGAAAAGTGGGGGGATTGTAAGAGCCAAAGGGAGTAGATGTATGCAGAGAAACAGTATTTGACAGACATGACAGTATAGTTGCAGGCGTGGATTCACAGTGTTTGGGACTGCATGCACAAGACTTGCACAAGATCAAGTCATCCAAAATCCAAGCATGAATCAGGGAGGGGCTTATGAAGTTCCACCCTTATCTGAGGGACTATTGGCAATTGATGACTCCATGGGGAAGCAGAGTCAATTTTCTTCAGGGATCTGGGCCCTCAGAGGCTACCCATGCTCCAGGAGATGGTCCCACACCCATGGACATACTCCTTTCTATGTTTTTCTCATTTTGTGAATTTAGTTTTCTTTTCACATTTATTTCCTTTACAGTTAACTTTTCCTTTTACTTTGGCAGGGAAGGAGGTAGGGGTGGGAGGTGGGGTTGGGGTTATTGTAGGGAGCATTCACTTGGACTTTAGGGCTGCCTGAACTTTGAGAACAGAATGGGTATGTGTAAAGACTTTTACAGAGTAGTGTTTTGAAGGGCCTTTCTACCCTCATTCAATTCACTCTTGACTTTACAATCCTGCTAATGAAAAATGAAACACAGAGAGTGGCCCAAATGTTTTTATTTTTTCTTTCAAAGTTTATTTCAAGAGTTATAATGAGATGCTTTCTAACAGATATGTGGAAGAAAGTCATATGAGATTTTTATAAAATTTTGGGATATAAGATGAAATATAAGTCTTAGTTGAAGACCAGCCCCCTAAAAGATAAAATTAATGAAGGAGGACTATGCAGAAGCCAACCTTTTCTCTTTTTCTTTTCAGGATGGGAACTGAAAAGGAGGAAACTGTGATGTGTGGTGATCTTGATTCAGTGATCACAGTGAGCTTTCTAAAGAGATGTATAGTCACAAGACAGCCACCCATGCCGAATTTAAGACACCTACATCTGATCCACTATAAGAAACAAGGGCATATTGGAAAAGGGTCAGTGACTATGGTCACAGGCAGCCAGGAATGTGGCACAATATGTAGACCTGAACTAAGCTGTGACACAACAGAAGCTGACAGCTGCTTTGAAGTCAGTCTAATCTGAATTTTGTATTTGGCAAGGTGGAAATCAAGGTACTATTTCCAGGGAAACCTTAGGCAATGTCTATAACAGTTTCAACTCTATGACACATTTCTTCCTTTAGAAGTTCCCTTGTTTGCACGGCATGCCTTTCAAATTTCATTAGTGATGTTATAATAGAATCCCTGGCCTGGGCAGGATCATTATTCCAGTTGGGACAGGTTGATCACCTGGACAAGGGACCACCACTAGGAAGATGGGTTCACTTTAGGCCATGCTGAAGAGATGGGGGCAATAATTAGGGCTTTAATGAGATGTGAACTTTTCCTGACTGGAACCCAGGACCCTAATGCAATTGCCTATCACTGACATGCAGCTTCGTAAGTCTTAAGAATTCAGAAAAGTGTAACCCCTCTTTTCTTCTTTCTGTCTCTTTTCTAAGCATGCTTTGCCTCACACTTTGGACTGCCCCAACATTTTGGGTTTCTTTGCTCTTTGTCTAAAACCCCTTTCTCTGCCACGTTGCTGCTGGTCCACCATGCGTCTGACCTTCATGCCAGCTTTAAATGCATGGCTTTTTTCTTTCTGCCTTCCATTTTTCTCCTCCAGGTAGCTTCTAAGATTTACAGTCTGTCTGGCCTAAGGGTTTTTCTTTCAAATTTGAATAAAATTGTCCTTTGAGTCTATTCTTTGATTTATTAATGAGACTGAGAACCCAAGAAAGGACTCTGATTTCTCCTGTATCAGTGTGTCCAGCTCCTTGGCCCTGGGGATCCTTGTGATAGCTTCCTTGGCCAGTAACCTCCCTGGGACACTCCATGCAGCCAGGTTTTATGTTCCTGAAGTTCAGCATGGTAATATTCTGCAGTGTCTGGGTCATTTCTCCCCATCAACCACAGTACTCAAGGAAGGTCATGGTAGATGTGAGTCTCTCCATTTTGGATCCCGTGCAGGACTTCCAGGCTGCATCCATGCCCCATATTATATATTATTCTACTGAGGTCTGACAAGGGGTAAGAAAGGAAGAAATTTTCACGTGTGAAGAATAAAACAGGAAGCTAAAAATAGACTACCCAATGCAAAGAGAAATAAATAAAACAAAAAATTTCAATAATGTTTAGAGATTCAATCAGTACAGTTAATTACAATGGCATAGAAAGGAGCAAGGGTCATATAAAAAAGTTTCCCTTTAAATTTCACCCGTCTCAGGACTCTATTATATTTTTGAAATTAGATTCTGAAATAGCACCACAGAGAAAGCAAGAACAAAGCTCACTTGAAAATGAATGTACAACAATTTCCACATCCACTTAGGAAGTAGAAGGAAAAGGCACTCACCACTGGGAAAAGGCAGGGAATTTGTTGAGGGACAGAATCTTGTACTGCTACAGAGCTAAGGACTCCTACTGGAGTTGGAACAAAAAACATGCTCCTGTCCAAAGTTCCCTGAGGACATAAGGCAGAGGTTGCCCCCTACCCCAACCCTGCTGTTTCGTTATAGAAATAAGAATACAGCAGACTTCCTGCAGAAAGTATATAAAGCATAAAAGCACAGAGAAATATCTGTAAAAATAACCCTATCAACTCAGATTACAATGCCTAGAAAAAAAATCTTACGAAAAGTTAAGATAAAATAAATATATGAAAAAATGTCCCTTAGTTATCAGAGAAATGCAAATCAAAACTGCATGCAATAAGACTTCTAGTCAGAGTGACTATCAGGAAGAAAAACGAAAAGCAACCAATGCCGGTGATGATTGGTGGGGGAGTGGTGCGTGACTTTTCCTGGGGAGACAACACCTTTTCATCCTAGGCAGAGCACTGAAAACAGACCAAAGGAGCAATGAGGTTTTGGAGTTACGGGAGCATGGATGAGGGATTTTTACAGAAGCATCACGATTCAGACTCATCACTGGAAAAGCCCACTCTAGCATGAGGACTCACAAAAGCCCTGCAGCTCCCTCCGCAATGTGTGGGCAGCTTCATTGGTGATCCATTAATATGAGAGGCCTTACCATCTTCCAAAGTCTTCCTAATTTCTTTCTTCAATGTTATGAAGTATTCTCTGTAGAGGTCTTACACTTCCTTGGTTAGGTTTAGTCAGGTATTTTTTTTGAGGCTATTGTGAATGAGTTCGTTCTCATGGTATTTATTCTTTTCTGCTGTTCAGGGGGTGATAACCAAGAAAAGAGAAAGAAGCAAATGTTGGCAGATTGCATGGGATTCCTTCTTGAGATGTAGTTTTGTCTTCTGAATTAATTCATTTCCTCCTGATAGGAAGAGACTCATAAGACTAAGTTTGCTATGAAACTTAGAAGACTCAGGAAACTCATGACAATTACAACATTCTCAAGGCCCCTACCCAAGGATATACAAGCAGTACTCAAGTACTGGTGAAGAGAATTAATATCTTGAAAATAGCTACATTACCAAAGACAATCTATAGACTCAGTGCAATCCCTATCAAATTCTAATGACTCTTCACAGACTCAGAAAGTATAATCCTAATATTATTATGGAGACCTCTAACTTATATGAAGCCTTCCTAAGGATATTATATGGAGCCTTCCTTGGGTATTGAAATCCACATGGCTGCTAACAGCTGATTTAACTCCAGTTCCAGGGGATCTGACACTCTCTTCTGACCTCCATGGGCACTGCAGGCCACAGGTGCACTTATATGCATGAAGGCAGTATACTCATATACATAAAATGAAAATAACAAATGCTTTTAAAAATCAAAAAAGTTATAAAATGTCTTTCAAGGTTTTAAGTTTAGTTTGAGATTAGTTCAGTTTGCATTGACTATAGATTCTAGCTGTTTTGCTAGATCTCAAATTTTGATAAATCAAAGTATTATTGCATTTATGTGGTTTATAAGTACTATTAAATGCTGATTCGTAATTTATAATAAACCCCACTGAAGTTTATTTCATCAAACTGATAGTTACTGTTATGGAAGTTTGTAGCGTTTTGGGAATTAACTAGACTGACCTGGTCTAGCAAGAAGACTCGAACCACACTCAGAAAGTGTTATAGTCTGTGATCCACAAATGCCCAAACAGACAAAAAGACAGGTGAGTCTAGAGAAAGAAAGAAAGATCTATTACAGCCAGGCTACACTCTTTCCTAGAGGGTCAAATTGTAGCACCGAGCCTCTGGCTCTTTTTATATTGATCATGTTGCTAGACAAGCAAGCAGAATACAGAAGCCAATCATTGAGCATTAAGCTTGACAATACAATTTTCCATCTAAATCCCCCACCTGAACCATAGTACACCTGCACAGAACTAGCTTCCTCCTCTTTCATAAACAGATATTATCAGTCTTACTGTTATTCTACATTGGTCAAGGTATATTGCCTTTACTGGTCACAAAGTTCCCTTTAGGGGGGTTTTGTTGTATAGCAATTGTATCCTAGGAACCTGATCTTTTAAAGTTTCCCTAAGTCTTCCAATCAGAAAGGGGTCTGTTAGCAACAATTACTATTTTGCAGAATCAAGCCAAGCATAACCCACAAAATCTATGAATCAGCAGTTAGCAGGAGCACTCCAGGATGCTCTGACCTGTTCCCAAGACAACCAGGTACAGTTGGCATTCTCATACCCTGGGCCAACTGCCTGATAATTTCAGAAACTAGAGTCAGCCTAAACTTTAACATGGCATAGCTATGATCAAGAAGATGCCCTATTACAGAACCAGAGGAAGTTTTTCCTTTATTATGCAGACCTCAGACTGCTCCAGAGAAACTGAGTCCTGGACCAGGAATACATGCAGGTTTTTATAGGATTTTTTTCCTTGTTGTCTCTTGGCAAGAATCATATCAGTGGATTTGAGAATCCAGCACTGAAGTATATGTGCCCTTTAGGCTATCATAGAAAATTTAAACAGTCTGTATTTTTACAAAAGCAGATATTTTGGGCAAATGGGGGCAAGGTTGTGACATTTCCGAGTAACATGACATATTACGAATGCCAATACAATCTCAGCTATTTAACAAATTAGACAAATAAGGCACATTGCAGAAAGTGTTTCCTTAAGACCACCAGGACATAACATTCTTCAAGGCACTCACAGACTGTGGTTTTTATGGTTTTGTCTGTCCTGCCTTGTGACAGCTTAATGCTTACAGTGGAAAGGTCTTCATTG